GACGGAGGCCAGGGAGCCAGCACGGCCCCGGTGGCAGGGGCCCTGGGAGGAGCCGTCAGATGGAACAGGCTGCAAAGCGGGTCCTTGGGCAAATTGCTGGCCCTGGGCCCAAGCCTGGCAACCGGGGCAGGACTTGGGGGCCCCGGTGGCAGGGGCCCTGGGAGGAGCCGTCAGATGGAACAGGCTGCAAAGCGGGTCCTTGGGCAAATTGCTGGCCCTGGGCCCAAGCCTGGCAACCGGGGCAGGACTTGGGGGCGCCCCTCCAGCAGCCTGGCCGGGGTAATGCCAGGCCCAAAGCCAGAGAGCTGCCAGGCCAGGCCCTTGCCAACCACCAGCCCTTGGCTCAAGCGTCTCTCTGCAGCTAGCGGGGGGCTGCTGGACCTCAGGCTCCCGGAGCTGAGGTTCCTGGCAGGGGCCGCTGGCGTGGCCTCAAACCCACCCTGCTCCACCCAGGGGCCGGGCTCAGGGAGCACAAAGCCCCCCGCTCTGTCCCTGGGCACTGCCCGCCTGCCAGGGGCTCCTGCCCACTTGACGTCTCCCGGGGTGCTGCTCAGAAACCGGCCACGTCCGTTCACTGCACACAGGGCGGCACAGCCTCTCTCGGAGCCAGGGAGCACAGAGAGGTGCAGGGCTGCCCACCTTGGCCTGGCTGCAGAGATCCAGCACCTGCCCCCAGGCCCTCTGCCAGTCGTTAGAACAGACTGCAAGTGACTGGCCCAAGGGCACCCAGCACGTCAGTAGCAGGGCTGGGTTTAGCACCCAGGGCGTCCTGAGTCTCCACCTCTGCCCGTGCCCTCTGGCTGCCGAAGCAGTGCGGGGACAGGAGGGAGAAGGGGCTGTAGCTGAAGGGCATTGGTGGACGGGCAGCCTGCCCTGTGGCACGCTGTGCCAGCCGGGTGAGCCGTGCGCAGCGTGGGTGTCACGTCCCAGCAGCCCCCGTGGCTGGACTGCAGCCCAGAAAAGGGGCAGCCCTGCTGGGCCAGCTCTAGCAGACAGGAGGAGTCATGTACCGATGCTGGAACTTCCAGGGCCCATCCCAGGCAGCCCCGGGATCCCGCCTTGGCCGTTTGCCCCATTGGGTCCAATGCCTCCGGGTCCGCTGATTCCCGGCCCGACTCCGTTCGGCCCAAACCCAGGAACGCCGGGGAAGGTGCCGGAGAAGCCTGGCATGGCCGGGAGCCCTTCAGTGCAGAGCCTGCGGTACTCATCTGAAACGAAACCGACGTGTGAGCGACACGCCCGCTGCCGGCCGAGGGGCCCAGCCCGGCACGACAGCCTGTGGGAAGCAGGGGGCTCTGGAGAGAGCTCCACTCCCCTTCATCACTGAGGCCTGGAGAGGTGAGTCTTGTGCCGCACGTGGCCAGTGGCCCCCCCCACAGAGACAGGAAGAGCCATGTGCTCTGCACAGCAGGACTGGGCTATGCAGCTACTGATGTTGGCTCGCCAGTGGCAGCCTGTGACGGGGCGAAAGGCCAAAGAGACGCCCTCCCAGCAGGCTAGAGTGGCTGTGGAGGAACCAGCCAATCAGGAGCCAGGAGGGACTATATCAGTAGCTGCAGGACTAGCGGTAGCTCTGTTGCAGCCCAGAGCTGGAGAGGAGAAGGTGAGGGGTGCAGGAAGAACCAAGGACCGCTCAGGATGTGCGGTCACACAGCAAGGCCAGAGACCCGCTTCCCAGCCCTTGCTCGCTCGGCCCTCTTTCCCAGCCCAGGAAGCCTGGCAGCGGGAGGGCAGGAGGGGTTCCTGCTGCTGGGGACCCTCACCCCCGAACTCCCTGGCTTAGGGTGCTGCAACGTGCCCCTCGCCAACGTTTGCCCCCCCCCCAAACCCCTGGCACAGCTCAGGGATGCAGAGCAGGTTGCGCTTACCGGATCCCCTGACGGGGCACATTTCGGGGGTCTGCCCGATGGCCCAGCAGCGCCCGGAGTCGCAGCAGCACTGCATCTTGGTGTACTGGCCCAGGAGCTCCCCGGCGCCGCGACCGCCGGGTAGCGCCCAGAAACACGT